TGGGAAGCCCGGAGGCGTCCCCAGCCCGCGATGCGAGAGAAAGGAGGTGAGTGGTTTGCATTTGCTAACCCGTGGGGAGATCCTGCAACCGAGGATCCTTTTTCTGACAGCAGAACACATCGTACCTTTGAGCCCACTGGGCTGACGTGCATGCAAGCGGTCTGGGGAGCCTCTGCTGCACAGGGTTTGTCACGGGGAGATTCCCAGTGTTATTGAGGATAAACTGCAAGGCAATGTGTAACAAAGGGTGGGGAAATTGGTTTTTAGGATGAAAGCTTTCTTAACGAGAACACAACAGGTAAGTGTTTAAATAGGAGACCGGGGACTAACACTTTACATCTGGTTTTAGGAAATATTAACATTGGATATGTCAGAGGTATTTCCAAATGTCTCGCAAGCATGAGTATGATGCCGAGCTCTCAGGCTGAGCGTTCTGCACAAGTTAGTCTTTACCATGACTCTGCGTGCAGTGGTTTTGGTGGAGTGAGAGAAGCTGTTTTGCCATGCTTTGTACCCAAACTGGCACACACAGTGCTGCTTTGCACCTACACCCCCCTGTGCTTCAAATGCTGCCACCCCAACCAGTCACACATGGACAGAACTGGACTATGAATAGAAATAAAGCATTGAATCTTCAGTGTGGCCCTTGTGCCAGACAGTTCCCACATCAGGGGGGTAACTCTGCTCGTCATTATTTAATATGGTCAGAGGGACAAGCCGGCATGAACAGCTATTTCCAAAATAATAACAGAACTTCCCCTGCAACAGAACAAGAAATCGTGTACAAACTAAAATATGTATTAAGTACAAACTAAAAGTAAAAGATATTTTGCTTTTTCAGCAAGTGAAATGTTTGAGCATTCATGACAATTTTTGCGTAAATCACTTCACTTGTTCATATTAGGTGACCACTTAAGACATTTTATTTTATTTTATTTTATTTTATTTTATTTTATTGTAAAGATCAAATCTCTGAGAAATTCTGGCGATGAAATATTCAAGACCAGGACTTTCAGAGTGCTGCAGGCACATTGCGCTGGCTGATTGCAGCAGGAAAATTTAGTTTTACATTATCTAATCAACAGATATGTTAACTTGTTAATCATAAGGATTCTGAGATGTGTCTGTAAATGAAGAAACCATCCTGAGTGATATCAGAAACCGTGCTGCTGCGTGCAAAGCAGTGTAAGTCTGACAGCTGAAATCAATCGCAGCAATGCACTGGAATGGAAAAGGACTTTTTCACTTGTAGATTTAATTTCCACTGAAGCCAGCGGAGTTATTAGGCTGAAGGGAGTGGGCTCACAAGCAGATCTAATGGGGGAAAAGATTTCTCTGCTGCTTCTGGGCAGACTTTGCAGTCAGCGAGGCCATATCAGAAATATATTGCATTCCCAAATGCCTTATCCACATTTAGTTCCTAACAGCTGAGCTTCTTGTTCCTTCAATGTGTCGCCTCCATTTGCTGCCTCCTGGGGCTATTGCTGTTGGCGCTGTCTGGGGGGTTCTCCGTTGCAGGAGACGGGGCTTGCATTGCTTGACTTTGGCAGAATATTCCCCACCTTGGGCAATCCTGCTGGCAGGAGACACTTTGCTGTGCTGGGAGGAGAGTTAATGCTGTACAGAGGCCCAGGAAACACTCGCCCGGCTCCTGCGGCTCCCAGGGACCCCACCCCTCTGGGGTGCTGCAGCCTCTTGGCTCTAAAGGAGGATGAGAAGCCCCTTCGTTCCGTCTTACTGAGCTGAAACGTCAGCCCAGCGGGCAGGGAATGTCTGGGCTTGTTGGGCTGGTTGTGGTGGGGACACACAGCCGTGCCTGGGGCTGTAATTCCCAGGGAGGTGGAGCTGCTGCCCCTCAGAAGGGGATTTCCACCCTGGAAGCAGGATTTGCCCCATGGAGGATGCCACAGATCAGCTCTCCCTTGGGATCCAGGTACGGACTGGCTTGTTTCCCAGAAGCTGAAGCATGCAGGAGGCCGTAGGCATGAAGAAACAAATGGTTGAATCCAGGAGCCCATCTGACAAGAGAAAAACCTCCCCTGGGTAGGAAAAAACAGCTTTATGGCCACAAAAAAAAAGGGGACAGGCAGTGCAAGGAGAGGGGCTCTTGGCACTGCCCGTATTTTCACGCTCTAGAGCCTCTGCCAAAGAGATCTCGTGCTGGAGCAAAGCCCTGTCCTTTCCCTCACAGCCATGGGAGCTGGAAGGAGGATTTGGGGGAGCTCAGTCAAAACTGCAAAGAGATTCGACCTTGTCATTCAGCCTGAGACACAACAGATGTGGGAAGAGAAGGTCTGGGCTGGCTGGCTGATTGCTGCAAGCCCAGCTCAGTATTTTGAACCTGAGGGCTTATCTGAATTCAGTCAGCTTAATGGAGAGACCTGTACCAGGACAGTCAGTGCAGGAGTTATTTTGCCATTATAACCAAATTCTCTCCCCAGGCAATGTAAGGTGAGGGACAGCATTTTGCCGGCCTTCAGTCTCTCGCCCAGTGTTCAGTACAGTTTCCAAGCTCCTAAGTATGTTTGTTGGACATTGTAAAACTGCAGATACTGAGAATTTACGACAGTCCTGGGAATGCTGGCTGCAATTAATAGATGTTGGAGTCTGCTTAATTAAGAGATGGCTTGGTTTGGATGCTGGAGTTTTGGCTGGGGAGTTTTGGATGCGCGAGGAGGCAGCTGCTGCCTCGGTGGTCCCTGGTGAGCCCTGAGATACGTCAAAGTCCATCTGTCCACTAGATCCCTCTCTCTCTGGAGAGAGAGATGTTGTCGGGTTTGATAACAGCAGTTAGTAATTACTGATGCCCTTTGTCATGTTTCTGTGAAGAGCCGCAGGAAACAGGAGTGCTGAGATTACAGTGCAACACCTCCAGTCCTGCACGATTACCCCATGCCAGAGCCTGATGTAAGAGGAGCGAGGCTTGCTGCAACGCTGAGCCACATTTCAGCCCAAAGTCCAGGACTCCTCCGGTCTGATACACCAAGAAATGCGAATCAGGGTTGAACTGCTCTGGCTGTAATATGCACCGAATGCCCTGCAACTGCTGGCGTTTGAGCCCCGACAGGCAGGCAGGAGCAAAGTGTGGGGCTCGGGCTCTTCTCTGTGACTTCCTGGGCAGCATCTCGAGTGCTCAGGGGTATTTTGCAACTACTGCAAAACACAGAAATAGTGATGAGTGTCGGGGGACAGGGGAATCAGTGGGGAAGGAAGTAACAGAGACAGGTATAAAATACGTGTCACTGCTAAGATGTTGTGGACAGAGCTTTCTAGCGTGTCAGTCACTGCTGGCTGTTGTCACCTCTAAGGACAGCTGTTGCCTTCACTGAATTTCAGAAAACAGACAGAGAGACCGCAGATGGTTGGCTACAGGTGCCTGGAGCGCAGCAGCGCAGCAGCCCAGCCCCTGCACCGCCCGGGCACTCGCTCTGCTCCCCGGGTAGCTGTGGCTGTCACACATCCCGCCTGCTGCGACTTGCACGTTTTGGACGTTTCCTCTTTCAAAAGAGAGCTGAGGGGAGGGAGAGACGGTGGCTTGTTTGTTCTGGTGGAAAGGGAACGCCGTCAGCTCAGTGCTTTCCTCCAGCAGCGGGAACTCAATGGTCCCATTGCCTGGATGTGGGATCTTGGGTACTCGAAGTGGGGCTTTGGGGAAAGGGGTCGTGTCCCGTGGGCGTTTGTAGCAGGGCGGTATGACCTGCCGGTGCAGGGCACTCAGGACGCAGCTTCTCTCTGCTAATAAGGCAGCTTTAGTGTATCTGACAACCGCCTCTTCATCTGCTCCCTGTAACCCCGTCCAGGATCACCTTGTTCCGCCTGTTACACAAGGTAACCCAAGGCAACTGAGCCCTCAATGAAAGTGCATTTGGTTTAAATCACAAGTATAATCAAGAGCAAGAATGGGAGAAAAATAACATCTGAAGGACAAGCTCATCAATGTAACGAAGACGAAGGGATTGAAATGCATTAAGCAGTAGAAGTGTAGAGAAAAACACAATTTTTGTGCCACAGAGTGCACTGAGCAGCTCAACATCTGCTTAAGGGAAAATAAGGCATTTCCCTCCATCACATCTCTGCTAAAGCTAAAAATATTGGTAAAATTAACCTAATCCTGGGCATAGACAGGGGTTCTTGGTTCAGGTGGCCTAACTCCTGCATGTCCCTATTTTTATGTCCAACCCACACCCTAATATTGATGTTAAACAGTAAATTTTAATCACTCTGACCATGGGACAGACTGACTCATGACACAGGGATTATGGGGGGAGAAACACAACTTTAATGAGGCTGAGCTTTATAAAACTGCAATGGGCAAGCTTAAATATAAAACCAGTCTTGTCATTGTATGTGTTCAAACAGCTGGACGAAGAGTAAATGCTTCAAAGTGCTCTTTGTGTTCCCAGATAAGCCGCACCGAGTCCCCAGCAGTGCAATATCCCCCATCCTTCTCCATCCCAGCCATCTCCTGGGCAGCTTCACTCGGACAGGCTGTTCACCAGGGCCTGTCCCCAGCCACGGCACAAAGTCACCATGAGCAGCCTTTTCCACCGCTGCTGGCCTGAGCAGTGAATCCTAGAGGACTGGTAAGAGCTGGCCCAGGATTTGTACAATTCTCGATGTTGCTGCTTCCCTCTTGTGGTGAGGAAACAGCCTGAGAGACAGATGTGGTACGGACTACGGACGTGGTACGGGCATGGTACCCATGGGGTGCGATAGATGGGTCTTAGCCAAATCACCGGTGAGACAAAGCCTGGATCTCTGCTGGGAAAGGGTGGAAGTTGGCTCCAGCATTTGGGCTGTGGACCTGTCGGTAGGTCTCCCTGCGTTATTTTCTTTTTGCTTGCCTCCCTCTAAAGGCAGGAATGTGTCTGAGCGGGTTGAATTTATTGCTCATTGTGCTCCTCTAAGTCCCCTTCCCCTTGGTCTTTTTCAGAGCATCTGAAGAAGTGTAGAAGGAAGCAAAACCGCTCTCTGCAAGCTCCTGGCTCCAGCTAATTACAATGGATATTTGTAAGATACATGAAAACACCTCCAAATGCAGTGCAAACACCATGGAGTGCTTCATGGTCCTCAGCACGCAAGCGCAGAAGATAAGCATTGCCACCCTGTGTGGCCTCTTTGGGACACTGTGCATTTTTGAGAACTCTTTGGTGCTGTACTTGATCTTCTCCTCCCCCAGCACTAGGAGAAAGCCTTCCTACCTCTTTATCAGTAGCCTGGCTTTGGCTGACATCCTGGCCAGCATCATCTTTGTCTGCAGTTTTGTTAACTTCCACGTCTTTAATGATACTGACTTCTCTAAAGAAATGTTCCTGCTGCAGCTGGGAGGGGTGAACACGTCCTTCTCTGCCTCCCTGAGCAGCTTGCTGCTGACAGCCCTGGACCGTTACATCTCCATCAGCCGACCTTCTGAATACAAGCTCCTCATGACAAGGAGGAGAGCATGGATAGCCCTGGGAGTGCTCTGGTTGACATGTGCGACCATCGCTTCCCTGCCCCTCCTGGGTTGGAACTGCTGCACGCTTGATTCAACCTGCTCTGAGCTCTTTCCATTTGTGGATGACAAATATCTGTCGAGCTGGATCTGCTTCATCATGGTCCTGCTAGGGTGTATCGTCTATGCCTACGCGCACGTGCTATGGAGGGCTCACCAGCACGTGGCCTACATGGAGAAGCACCAAGTGCAGGTGGGAAAGCAGAACACCAGGATGAGGATGGATGTCATGCTGGCCAAGACCCTCGTCATGGTGCTGACTGTCCTCGTGCTGTGCTGGTCTCCGGTCCTCATTCTCATGATCTACAGCATCTTTGCCAGGCTGAGCAATCACCTGCGCAAGGTCTTTGCCTTCTGCAGCACCCTCTGCCTGCTCAATTCCATGGTGAACCCCATTATTTATGCCCTGCGGAGCAAGGAGCTACATTCCTCCCTGAGGATGGTCTTTTCTCGGTTCAGGAGGCAGCCAAAGGCCTCTGAGGAAAGCCCAGAAGCAGAGAGCACCCACAAGTCCTCCATGATGGAGACCATTTGTGAGGACATGCGCGTAACGTAGGGAGGCAGCTGTGGAAAGTCCATGCTTGGGCTGGCAGAAACAGTCTGGATCACTTCTCTTTTCCTTTTCTCTTCTCATGGAGGTCCTGGGAGACGAGGGATCAGATGCCTGTCATGGAGCCGGCTCCCGCTGATGTTATTCTTAGACACTGGGACATAAAGCGTGCAGACTTACACAGGCAGCTGGTCCCCAAGCTGCAGAGGTACCAGTGCCACATCAGTATGCCAGCCCTGTGGCAGCGGATAACACCATGCCTCAGAACAGCAGATCCTAACGTTCTATGGCAAGTGCCTCTGCCTGGCCTCTTGCCCGTCTACCAGTAAACTCTTAACCCATTTTTCCTTACATTCAGTGCTGTCTTCCTTACACCCCATAAAATATAGCTAACCTCAAGTAAAACATTCTGTAGACCTTCAGTTTCTCTAGAAATCCCCAGATACCACATAACTCTCTACAAACCCCTTAACCAGTGTACAAGCACCGTCAGCAAAGTGCTAACAGCACATCGCTACGTAGCAGAGGTACATCTATTTATACCAGCCTTGAATGCGGTCCCGAGGTGTTATGTCTTAGCAGCATGGTGACAAAATGTCTTCAGGTCCTGGCAGAGGGGGCAGAGAACACCACCAAGTCGTGCCGAGTTCCCGCTGTCGGTGAATGCCTCACTGCATTGCGCGGGAGCAGGACGGGCAGCAGCAGGAGGTACCTCGGCCCTTGCTGGGAAGGGTGCAGATGGTTTCTCTGGACTCGCTTGCAGATGGTGCTGGCTAATCATGTTTCAAAGCATTTAGGATCGTGTTGATTTTGGCGTCTAATTCTTTATGGAAAACTGAAATGCTCTCACTGTGGTTTATGGACTCTGCCACAGTTGAGGATTTCGAGGCGGGCCAGGCGCTGTGTACGGCACATTTCTTTCAGCAAATTTAAGGAGAGCTAACCTGTGCCACGCAGGCGTTTGTGGGATGTTATCTGATTAAACATTAAAGCCATTTTTCAGCCTTTTCTTCCATTAACCTCTGGGGCACAAACTCCTCCAGGCGAGAAGTTTAAGCGCAGGCTGGGGCACACTCTGAGCACGAGGAACTCAATAGGTTTTTTTGCAAATTACACAAAAGCAGCATCTTTAGCTGTAAAACTTACAAGGAGAGCTAAGTGGGACGGGGCCCTTCGCCAGCGCCCCGCAGAGCAGCAGGGCTCCTGCCAGCTCCCGAAACACCTCCGTCGGGGATGAGCCTGGCTCGGGGCACGGCCACGAAGCCCTTGGACTCTGCCCTGTTTCCCCAGAGGATGCACCCGGCCCTCGCGTGTGGGTTTTGGAGCCAGGCCCTGGGCCTGCTCTGCCTGCCCAGGAGGGCCAGGGGGGAGAGAGGTCTCACGGAGGCCGAGCCGCCCTGGGGCCAACCCCATGGGCTCTCTCCTGGCCCCTCAAGGGATGGACTCAGAGGCTCAAACCGCAGGAAGGGGCTCACGGCCGGCTATGGGCGGGCAGAGCCGGGCTGGGAAGGAGGGAGGGAGGGAGGGAGGGAGGCAGGGAGGGAAGAAGGGCACCAGCCCCGCTGCC